GGGTCAGTGTTTATGGGTTTGTATGTGGAGTCTTGGAGTAGGTCTGTCAATTTTGTTTCGTAGTCTTTTCTGTCCATTACTACAGTGGCATTCCCTTTGTCTGCTGGGAGGATGATTATGCTGCTATCTCTTTTCAGGGTTTGTAGTGCTTTGATTTCATTTTTCTGTAAGTTGCTTTTTGGTGGTTTGCTTGTGCATAAGATGTTGGTAACTTGGTGTCTTATTTTATCAGCTTCATCTGTATTTAATTTAGTTAGGCTGGATTCTACTGCACATATGATGGATTCTGTGGGGATTTTTTGGGGTGCTATAGCATAATTGAATCCTTTGGTTAGGACATCTGTTTCTGTTTTGGTGAGTTCTCTGTTGGAAACGTTGTGCACTAATTGTTTCAGGTGTTGTTGTGAGTTGTTGGGGGTTTTCTTGTCATGTTCTAATTTCTTTAATTTTTTCAATAATTTTTCCTGTTTGTAAATACCTTCAGAATCAGCTCTCCAAGTTGTAAGTTGTTTTATCTTGTCCCAAAGTAGAGGGTGGATTTTGCTGCTCAGTTCCAGGTGTAGTGCTAGCAAATCTTTGTTTAACTGATCTAATTGGAATCTCTTACTGTGGAGCTCGTTCCGTAGTAAAGCCATTTCAGTTCTTTTCAGGATACGTTTAGTGGCTGCTGTGCTTTGATGAAATGTTAATTTGAAGCAGGTTGGTGTAGTATTGTTGTCTCTGCAGCTGCGTAGGAATTGGAGGTCACATAGTATTCCTGCTCTTTTAATTTCCAGTTTCTCGTAGGTTTTGATCTGGCTGTTTATTTCCTCCCCGTAGAGGTTTGATATTTGTTTTCTTAAGTTTTCGCGGGTACTTACATGTATGGTGTTCGGCTTGGTTCGGGTATTTTCCCACGTCATTGTAGTTCTTTTAAAGTTGTAGCAACGTTTCAGCAGAATCTCATCTGCCATCATCAGGCTTCTGTATTGTGTCCGTCTGTGAGTCAGACTTTTACAGTAGTTTCAGATTTGAATTTGGGGCAGCCTATTGCTGTGCCAGAATGGTTTTTTCTTCATCCTGATTGGTTGGGAGTCTTGGTCTGTGTTTATTGGTCTCGGAGTTTGCTGTGTTCTGCTTGATTGGTGTCTCTAATATCTTCTGTCTGTTTTTTGGCTCTTTTTGTATCTTGATTGGCTGGCAGCATTGTGTTGCTTTAATGGAGGCCTTTAGTGCAGCTTGGCTTCGGGTAAATGGACGGCTATCATTAGTTAGGAAGCTGGGTTTCATCTGGGTGCCTGGTTGGGGTGTGTTTGAGCTGGAGGTATCAGGGGGGATCTGTTTGTGCCCAGGTGTTTGCCTGGCTTGTGGTGTGGAGATTTTTTTGTTTGTGAGTGCAGGCTTCCAAATGATTGACAGCCTGGTGGAATCATCTCTTCTGTTCATGCTTTCTGGTCTTTTTTCAATCTCTATGGCTTCTCTGATGATTCTGTGATTAGGGTTTTCTATAGTGGCCAGGGTTTTGGTGCCATTGAAGTTGATGCTATGACCTGTGGCTTCCATGTGTTGGACTAGTGAGGAAGTGTGTTCCAGCTTTTTGACTGCATTTTTGTGTTCATCCAGGCGGGTGCTTATTCTTCTATTGGTCTGTCCAATGTATGTGGCCGGGCATGATGCACAGGGGACTTCGTATATGCCTTGGTTTTCCAGGTCAATTTTATCTTTGGGGTTGCTAAGGATGGCTGCTATTTTTCTGTCTGTTTTGAAGGCAGTCCTGATGTGATGTCTGTGTAGTACCTTACTAATTTTGTCTGTAGTAAATGACACCAGACCCACACCCATGAGGGCCACACAAGATGCCACCACCACACTTCCACGTAAAAATCAGACTCACACCCACACAGAAGATGAGACACGACCACAGACCAGAAGCCGCACTGCAGCTGCAACTGCAGCTGCATCACTACCCACTTCAAACTCACTACCCACTTCAAACTCCTCTGAACCATACATGAAGCAAACTGACCCCCACCATGAAGATGTGGCACGACCACGAACTCGAAGCCAAACGAACACAGACCCAGACCCCAAACTCAAAGCCATATTAAAAACCCAAAATGCTACATCACAGCCACCCGCTCAGGACATCACATCAGAAAACTCAAGAAATTACACCTCAAGAACTCAAGAAGTCATAACACAGCAAATGACCCAGGATATCACAGCACAAGACCAAGGATACCACAGCAATAAATCTCACAAGGTCATCACACAACCCATTACCCAAGCTGTTACTACACAGGAGGCTAATCGAAAAGAGATCAAAACACAAACGACCCAGGAGATTACAACGCAAGACCCAGGATACCACAACAAAAGAACTCACAAGCCCATCACACAACCCATTACCCAAGCCGTTAAAACACAAGAGGCTAACGACCCAGGAGATGACAGCACAAGATCCAGGATATCTCTACAACAAAAGGCCATTACACAGCCCATTATACCAACATCAACTCCATCAACCAATCAAGAGGCTGCAGCACAGCCAACCAGCCCAGCACACCATCCCCCACCACTTGTATATATAGAGAGATGGCAGCTCCGGTCACACACTGCTTGCACTGGCACTAAGCCGAAAGCACCAGCCTGAAGATGGCGAGTGGGACCTCGCCGAAACGTTGCCTAGATACTTTGAATCTTACGCGGGAGAAAACCCGAATAACCAAAGATCCACATACAAATACCCGCGAGAACCTCAGAAAACATATATATATATATATATATAATATATTCTTAAGTTTTCGTGGGTATTTATATGTATGGCATTCAGCTCTGTTCGGGTATTTTCCCATGTCATTATAGTTGTGCTTTTAAAGTTGTAGCAACGTTTCAGCAGAATCTCATCTTCCATCATCAGACTTGTGTATTGTGTTCGAACACAATACACAAGCCTGATGATGGCAGATGAGATTCTGCTGAATGTCTCTACAACTTTAAAAGCACAACTATAATGACGTGGGAAAATACCCGAACAAAGCTGAATACCATACATACATACATACATACATACATACATACATACATACATAATCTATCTATCTATCTATCTATAATCTATCTATCTCTATCCATTTCTATGACAGTCTGAAATACTAATTTTTTATAGTAATGTTGTGGGCTTGTTTGTTTAATACTGATTAATACTAATTTAATACTAATTTCTAGCCCATTTTTTTCAGGGTTAAAAAATTATGACTCAATAATGTAAAATTCACAATTAAATAGCTGTCTATCTATCTGCACATTCCTATATCAAAATATGACAGTCTGAAATACCAATTTTTATCATAATGTTGTGGCATGTTTCTTTAATATTGAATACATTTCTAGCCCATTTTTTCAGGGCTAAAAAGATTATGACTCAATAATCTAAAATTCACAATCAAATCTAAAGTCAATAATCACTGTGTAAATCTTAATTAGTGAGATAGAAGAAATTGGAAAGTAGCATCTGAGTTAAAATGCAGACTACTGAATTCTTCTTATTGTTATTTTTGTTATTCTATTCTTTCTATAGGATCTTTAAGCTATGCATAGAAAAAATAATAATACACATTTCAATAAAACAATGTGACATAAAATAAGCAAGACAATAAAAATTATTAAAAGTCCATATATAAATGTATAAGTTAGCAAAATTCCTTTGCAAAGGACTCTGGACCTGGAATAATTGTTAACCAACAAAATCCTGGATGAGTCAGTGCATTCGGATTGCTAGACAATATTGGGGCCAGCTAAATTTAAATCAGAGCAAATAAATCTTTCAGATTTTCCAGAAGTCCAGGGACTTCCAAAGATATATGTCATTGTAGAAATATTTTCATTTCCAATTAGGTTTGTGAAGACCGTTCAAGAGGCATTTTCTTGTGGGGAAGGTTCAAATGGAGGACTTCTTCAAATTGCTTATGTGAGATGTCACAATGCCCCAGTTCTTATTTGCAGAACAGTTGCTGAAGCTTGATTCACTTTTTAAAAGCGCTTTCTGAACATTAACAGAAGCCACTTTCATCAAAGCCAAGCAACAGATCAGCTCTGCTTTGAAACCTTATTGGCTGATGTATCTGTATGAGGCAAAGCACCTCATTCAGGTGAATCAATTACAATCAATATATACAATATATATAGCCAAAGAAGGGATATTATAGTTAGGCCTCCAAAGGAGATTTATTTATTTTTCTTTTCACCTATATCACATACTGGAAGTCAGGGAATCTGGAAATGATTGATGGGAGGAATGTGGGAAACTGGAAAGCTTTACTGCTAATCAATAAAGTCTTATTATGACCACACTTGGAATATTGCATTGAGTTTTGGTAACCATATTATAAAAAAGATGCAGAGACTCTGGAAAGAATGAAGAAAACAGCAACAAAGATGATTAGAGGGTTGGAGGCTAAAGCATATGAAGAAAGGTTACAGCAATTGAGTTTATCTAGTCTAGTGAAAAGAAGAACTAGGGATGACATGATAGCAGTGTTCCAATATTTGAGGGGCTACCAGAAAGAAGAGGGCGGTCAACCTATTTTCCAAAGCAACAGAAGGCAAGACAAAGAGCAATGGATGGAAACTAACCAAGGAGAGAAGCAACCTAGAACTAAGGAGAAATTTCCTAACAGTGAGAACAATTAATCAGTGGAACAACTTGCCTCTAGAAGTTATGAATGCTCCAACACAAGAAGTTTTTAAGAAGATATTGGCCATCATTTGTCTGAAATGGTACAGGGTCTCTTGCTTGAGCAAGGGGTTAGAAGACCTCCCAAGGTTCCTTCTAACTCTGTTATTCTGACTTTTGAGTTCTAATGATCAGAAATTCCTTTTGCTAAGCACATTGGAGCCCCTGTCCTACTGAGACACAGGCAGTGTTTAACAGGAGCTCAGCTGACGGCTTGAGGTCTTTGTCCCCACACTAGTGAATAAACAGACTTAATATGACCCAGTGTACCAATTATGCCTCTTACTGAAGAAACAGCAACTGAATAGAACCAAACACAAAGGAAAAGTAAGAGGACAGAATCAGATATAGATAACAATTAAAACTGGACACAAACTATGAATTTTACCTTTTAGAAGAACATCATTCAGAATCCTTTGTAATTGTGAAGCATCTAAGTAGGAGTTCTAACGTAGAACAAACATACACACAAACAAAAAATGCTTATGAGGGGTATGGTTCCTTGGAATCTTGTCTTGTTGCTATATCCACTTAATTAAAGGACTTATGGTCTAAGGTCACTGCCCATTCTAGGCAGAACATCCCAGGTTCAATCTTAGATAGCACTTGAAGCGTAGGAATCTTTTTGTCTTATTTCTCGCAGTAGTTCTTAATTTTACATCTATAGAAATTATTTTTATTTATTTGGGATAATTTCCCACTAGCTCATTTTCTTTTGCCCTTCTTTCTATCCCACCTACCCCCTTTTTTCCCCTAGGTTTCATTTGTAGTTTGGTGGTTTATTTTTGCCCTGTTCCAGATAGCACATTTTAAAAATGCAAGAAAGAGTTGCACCTGACAGATGTCCGAGAAAGATACAAAATCTAGATTTCCTCATTTATTTACGTGCTAATTTGAAGATATTGTTTCTTCTCTAAATTCCCTTGATTCATTTATTATTGGGAAATACAAATACACATTCAGAGAGACAGAGATGTTTTGTTTATCATGTTCTATAGGCAAATAATCAGCTAATTTTAGTAACAAATATTTAAGAAGTGGATTCTCATAATATTCAGTTGCCTTGAAAATTACCAAACAGAGAGAAAGCAGCAACTTATATGCTGTCTGCTTGAATGAGCTTTCTATTTCCACATTAAAAAGATAATAAAATAAAGCAAATAAAACTGAAACACAGAGAGAAAAACAGGTGACTGTTTCACTCCACAGTATTTCACAGATGAGTGTTTCACTCCACAGCGATTTAGATGGTGACCACCATTTCCTCCATTAAGCCAAAATCAAGGTAAAAATACCAGTGGCTTGGGGGATTCAAAGGATGGCAGAAGTTTACAAATAAAAATTACAAACAAAAACAAAGAATTATGTTCAATTTATAAGCTGTCTGTCTGTCTGTCTGTCACCTATCTATCTGTCATCTATCTATCATCCATCTATCTCTATCAATCAATCTATCAATCTATCTGTCTGTTTGTCTGTCATCTATCTATCTAAATTTAGTGGATAGATAGATAGATAGATAGATAGATAGATAGATAGATAGATAGATAGATAGATAGATAGATAGATAGATAGATAGATAGATAGATAGATAGACAGACAGACAGACAGACAGACAGACAGATAGTTTTGGGTACATATAATATTAAAACTCAGTGGCTATATATAGAGCCACTTTTATATTATCTGTACCTGAAGCCATTTCTAGTCTTCCAATTTTTTTTCAAGTTAGGTCTCAACTAAAGCTTCTGAGCGATTATTAGAAAAGAAAGTAGGATGATTTGGCATGTTCAAAGAGTTTTAACTGGACGCCTAAAAGATGCATAGAAGCTGGAAATATCTGGCTTCCAGCAAGGACTTGCTTTGACTCAGGAGACTGCTATCATTTTCCTTCCTTGCCCTGACTGCTTCTGGAGACAAACTGTGTGCACCTTTCACAGTCAGCACTGCTGTTTTCACCTTTTATGTGCTGATACAACTATTAGCTGTGAGAGGTCTATTGTACAGAAGCTTTTGGCAGCAATTTTTCTCTCGACTAAGTCAAGGAGTCTTTTATAACAGTTTATTAAGCCATTAAGAGCATCTCCTGTGAACACATGCAGCTTGGCTCAGAAAGAATGCAAATCAATTACCCAAACATTGACTGATGCCTGCTTTCCAAATGTGGAAAGTACAAACTGGAAGTAATTCTGAGAGACTAAATATGATCCAGGAAGCCACATCTATTTGTAGCTAAGGTTTACGGTTAATTGCTTGTTTGAGGAACATCTTTCTCTCCACAAGCAATCAACTCCAAACAATATATTGTGTAGCCAGGTCCCTTGTCTGATTTGTCATAACAACTAGCAAATCAATACCATTTTGAGAGACACCCTTGAGATCTGCATGGCTGAAGCATGGATTAAAAGCAAGATGGGAAAACTCTCTTTCTCAATTTTACAAGCCTTGTTGATTCACTCTTTTATTTCTATTCAACAAACCTGATAAGCATATCTGAAGAAGACACTTTCATAATTGTCTGGATTCCAGAAGAGCATATCCTGTATCCCAAAAAAATAAAAATAAAAAAATGCATGTATAAAAATCAGTCCACATGAGAAACCTCATTATTATTCATTCATTATGTTTCTAGCCATTTACAACAGGCAACATTGCGCAACCAACCTCAAAAGCCTGACAGTGACAAAAACACTCCTATTATCCGATCATTCATGTCTTTCTTATTTATCCAATTAAATTCCATCCTGTGGCATCCCGTGTCAAAACTTCAAATTGCCCCAAGCCATTTGTAAGTGCATGATCTAGGGGAAAAAAGACTGCACAATACCAGCAACCAGCTAAAGAACAAAAAAGGAAGGATATTATTTTATGAAAGCTTTGTGAAATGGCAAGTTTTCAACAAAGTCTCAAGGATGAGGGCAGCTCGCAGTAATTTGTGGGGAGAAAACCAGGGGTGGGATTCTACCAGTTCACACCTATTCGCTAGAACCGGCTGTTAACATTCTAAGCAGTTTGGAGAACCGGTTGTTAGAAAAAATTACTGGATTAATCCTGTAAGGAAAGCAGGAAGGAAACATTTTGGTGTTGCTTACAGAAACTGCCTCTCCATTAACCCTTATTACATTCTTGGTAGGACTAGACTTCCTGTCTCAGGAACGTCTCTGGAGCCTTTTCCCCCTCCTTTGCTGGTACTTTGATGTGTGGAGTGACCATTCAAAGTTATAATGGCACTGAAAAAAGTGACTTATGACCATTTTTCACACTTATGACTGTTGCAACATCCCCACAGTCATGAGAGGCCAGGCGAGGAGATGCGTGCCTCGATGTGAGTGATATTGAGTTCGCCACATCCAGCCAATAACATGACCACCAAGTCATGTCCACCCAGTCACATGACCACCAAGCCTTGCCCACCACCTAAGCCACGCCCACAGAACCGGTTGTTAAAAATTTGAATCCACCCCTGGAGAAAACGCCCGATTTAGGGAGCAAGGAAGAAGTAGAATGAGACAAAAGAGCATCCATAAACCTAGAATGCTCTTGAGTATAACCTGTTTTTGAGATATGCAGCTGATGAGCCCTTCAGTGCTGGTTAAACACCAAAGAGCTCACCACTGTCTGAAAGAAAGGAAATTGGCACATTCTCACTGGTGCTGTATCAGTGGTGGGATTCAAAAAATTTTACTACATTTTTCAATAATGCCAAAGAGGCAAACTGTCAACATATTTCATTTTACTGATAATGGAGAAATATACTGCTTAGTATATTTGCTTAGTTCCCTCTGATTAATACTAATAATAATTTAAAACATGATATAATTATGATGTTTAATATACAAGCTCAGCATAATCAAGATCTACCTTGGAATAAAGCTTTAGCATTCCAGGAAAGATTAAGGTGGGCACTGTGATAACATCAAAACAGGCACTAGATGAGCCTCTATGAAAGAACAGTACTGTAATTGGGATGCTACCACTTAAAAGAGCCTTTCAATAGTGACAACCAACTACTTCTGGTAACAATGGCACTTGAAAACAGAGGCATCCATGCAGGCCTAAGAAAGGCAGAAATTCTTTAGGTGTGCCATACTCCCAAAGGCCTTTCTAAGGATCAACATGAACATCTGTTGCTTCAATAGTTAATAAATAAAATCATGATTTTAGCACTGCCCCAATATAAAATTTAATGCTAGCTGTCAGGCTACAGAACTTTTCCCATTCACTCAACTAGAATGAACTTCTGAAAACGTATCCAAACGTATCACAAAAGAATTCTTTATTGAGATGAGACAATTCCTGTAGGAGTTCAAAGCAGCGTCTGAGGTCTCTCAGGCATACAGGGATACATAAGGGAGTTTAGAACCCCTCCCCTTATCTCGATGTGTATTTAGTGAAACAAAAGCCAGTATGTTAATTCCTCCCCACCCCTCTTGTTAGAACGAACTATTCAAGAGATTCCCAAAGTACAATCTCACTGTGGAATTTTTATGACCTTCTCATCTCCTGGTTGAGCCTCTCAGAGGTGATAGTTCTGGCCATCTGGCTTTTCTCCCTCCATATTATGTGTGGGTTATACAAATTCGATATAAGATTAAATGTATTCAGGTTACATCAAGAAAGGATTTCTTTATCAGCCTCCCCCCCCCCTTTTCTTCTTCCACTGAAGAAATGACAGATACACGGATCTGACACTAGCCTTGTCTCTACATTTCTAAATACAGGGTGACTGCTGCGGCTTGCAAGAGGGTTCAGACCAGTGGTGGGATTCAAATTTTTTTTACTACTGGTTCTGTGAGTGTGGCTTGGTGGGGGCATGGCATGGCTTGGTGGATGTGGCTTGGTGGGCATGGCAAGGGAAGGATAGTGTAAAATCTCCTTTCCCACCCCACTCCAAGGGAAGGTTATCACCAGTTCTCTGGACTACTCAAAATTTCCGCTACCAGTTCTCCAGAACTGGTCAGAACCTGCTGAATACCACATCTGATTCAGACCCAGAGCTGCTTTTCAATTCTGTCTGAATCATAGCACATCAATAATAGATGTCTTTCATTTAAAGTAAAAAAAAATTCTTCACCTCTAGGAAATGGGCCAAAAGGAAAATGGTTATCTCTAGACCTTAGAAATCAATCAGTCTACAAAGGCTGTGCAACTATTTCTATTGAGGTGGGGCAACATTTTGGGGTCCAAGGGCCAATGATTTTCTAGTTTCTTTTCCTCTGCAATTTTGGGTGGAGTTTTTAGGGTTTGTTATTTCTTTAACATCTGACTTAAATATATCTAACAGCTTAAATTGTCCCTCAGGTATGGATTTTATGTATTTGTTGCCTCAAAAAAGCCCTCCAATGTTGAGAAGTTTGGAGATTGCAAATGTTGTACACCCTCAGGTAACTCATCCCTTCTTTATATCCACATACCTTTGTCGTCTCTGAACTGAATTCATTGCTTGGCTCCCTATAAGGGGGAAAAATCACACACATAAAAATGAGAACTGCTTCAGGACAGACTATTTTTATTTATTGCTTACAAGATCCAGAGAGAACAGTTGTTATCATATTCAACCTTGATGTGTGTTTATCAAGCAATAGTGCACAAATCATTATCTGCACCCAAGTACTAAATTATGGGTGTTTCCACAATTCTTTTTGACAGAATATTCTTTTGTCCCAAGGGGGACCAAGGTCCACATAAGCAGTATGACTTTCTAAAAAGAAAATCCAGAATGAAAATTATGTTTTATTGTCTGATAAATCAAGATAATGGAATTTTATTTATTACACTCTAGTAACAGCCCTCTGCATAGTTAAGTGAATGTGAAGGGATCCAGGATAATACAGCTTTGCCCTAGGTCAAATTATCTGGTCCAATATTTGATAATCAATACCATAATTATATTAGACTGAAATATCATGTAATATGGAGATTTATATTTGTTTATCCTAATGGAGCTTTTCAAATGATTCAATTTCATCAACAATAAAAAAAATCTTTTTAAATGCTACATATTGTTACATACAAATTGTCAAACATATTCAATTTCTCCATGTTACACCGTATTGATCATCAGATATTATCAAATGTAAAACACTGCTCCATGACAAGAATAAAGTATTGTCAAATATTGAGCAAAGTATCATTGTCAAGTACTAAATAGTTCAAATAATCTCATCAAATGTTCAGCAAGTTTATTTTAAACAGGTTTAATTTGTCAAAAAACAACTAGAAGACAAATGGATGTCTGCCCTTAAGAATACCAAATTTCTTTAAATGGCAAAGGAAAAGGTGGATTTTCTTTGCCTCACACTATTCATGTTCTAATTGTGATTGCTTTACCTTATATTGCCTTGACTTCTAAGAAAGATTCGTAGAAGAAACTTTAATTTTTGGTTTTGTGGTGATGCCATTGGAATGATTATGTAATCTCCGGCGTTCAGTTGATAGGGAATGGTGATATCTCGTATTTTGTTAAGCTGTGTGTCATGAACTATAGTTCTACCCTTAGAGAAAATATTATGGAAAGAAATTATTAGTTACTTTGAAGTGAATATTAACTTGCAGCCTTTTTGCTACACACACACACACACACACACCACACACACACACACACACACAAATTTGCCAACTGATGATAAGAATGCTAGATTAGATTTGGTTGGAAGGTCAAGGTTTCATGGATATCCATAGCAAAAGTATAAGCCCGTGCATGCCCTTTATTGGAAAGTGAGATTCATTTGTTATAAACAGGCTAACCTCCAAACATCTATGCTTGAGACTGTACTATCTGTAATTTATGGAAGATATAGCAGAATCAACAAAAGGAGTGGGAAATATTTAGAGAGAGATTTTATCTGCATCTTTAGGCTTGTCTGGAGCACTCTGAACTTTGCATCAAATCCACTCCTATAAGAAAATAATAGACCCTGCCATATTTCTTGTGGCTGCAATATTTTCAGCAAGATGGCACAATAAATAAAATGCAATCATTATTACTGTGATGACATATAAAGACAACATAATAAAAAAAAACCAACTAAACAAATTCTTAAAAAAAATACTGGAGTGTATAAATCCCATTTAGAATAGTTTCTCAGAGTGGCACAATAATTTATGAGACATGCCTTTGGGGGGGGAGGGAGGACACACACACACACATGCACACACACTGCTATCTTGCAAAAAGAAAAAAGAAAGAAAGGGGAAAACATTTTCAAAGGGGCGAGGGGGGCCAAAGGGAGTGCTGAACTTAGAACGTGATGAATTAAAACTTCAATAAACCTAAATAGGGACAACTCTTTTCAAGGAAATTGATTTTTTTTTTTATGTATAATCGTTTCTTTTGTTCAAGATACAAAGAAGCTTTTATAGTATTTGGATGTTTTTTTTTAACCAAGCAGCTTATTCTTAAAATTGTCTTGATGCAAGCAAGCTATTCTAACAATGGAAAAAGAAACTCCAGATTTTCTGTATATAAATATTGGATGAATGGTTTTTTCCTTTCATTTCTATTTTCCTCCTGCCACCACCCCCTGCTGCCTTTATACTATATACATTTTAGACTGTTTTTAATTGATTTGTTGTGTGTGAAATATTTTGTAAACAGCTGTAACATGATTAAGTATAGAAAGCAACATAAAAAGATATTGTCATGGTTTAGTTCAGCACAGCCATCACTGAGTCTGAGATACCCCTTTTCTCTGGGGAATAGATACTGAACGGATGAAAAATTTGAACCTAATTACTGATAATTCAGAGAACCATTTTGATGTGGGGGGGGGGGGGGAGGGAGAGGGGCAGAGGGAAGGAGGGAAGGAGGGAGAGAGAATTCAGAAAAAAGTAAACAGGACTTTACTTATCTATACTTACTGTAGTACATTGTAAAATAGAAGAAAAGAACCAAAGCACATTAAGCATACAATTTGAGAATAAATATCTACAATATTATAATTACCACAATCATTTCCTTTAATTCGCCTTCCCTTGTTGAAAGGGTGTCAAACTTATGTCATCATGGCAGCATCATGTGACATATTGGGACTTTTTCCCCCTTCACTAAACCAGGTGTGGTCGTGGCCAGCGCATGATATATCTGGTCTGTGGGCCGGGAGTTTGATAACCCTGTTGTAGAATGCTACCCCTTCCACCTCAAGGGGTAGAGACATGCTATTAACAGTTCTGAACTGATATTGATTTTAATTGTATACTTCATTATTTGTATAATGTTGCAAAAAAAAAAAGACATTTCTTAGCTCAAAAGAATGGTGACAATATTTTACAGACTAAGAAGAGGAAAGAATGGAGTTCATAGATAATGTGTGTTAATGTTGATTTCATTACTGATTTCATTACTTATTATCCATCCGCATTGACATGGCCTGTCATTATATGGCAATCTATTCAGACTTTATGAGGTAAGAAGGCTGTGGGTAGCAATGAACCATGCAGGCCACTGCATGAAACATTATAGTCTAACCAGACAAATGTGCAAATTGCAGTTGATACTGGAAATGCCCATATTATTCCTCTGGGAAGGGCATCTTTTCCAGTGACTGGAAGATCATTGTGGTAATTTTTGGCTTTTGCTTAAAAAAAAATACAATTGCCCAGAGTAGTTGGATGTTAGGTGGCTCTTTAAATGCAAAATAACTATGTTCAGTCTTGCAGAATTTTAATATGCCATAAAAATGAGTGATTTTCTATTCTATTTTGTCTCTGTAATCTTGAAGAATTACAAATGGGTTGATGAAGGAGCATAAGAAGTTATGTGAAGCTCAAAGAACAACACAGTGTGAGATTATTCTTAGAATCATGGGGCTTGAAGGGACCTTTGAGATCTTCAAGTCCACCCTCCTGGTCAAGGCAGGAGCCTTATGCCATCCTAGTCAAATGCTATTCTGTTCCTGCACACATTGGTATTCACTATGTTTATTTTTGCTCCCTTGGAAGTACCTGCTTCTGAAGATTTCTTTTTTTTTAAACCAAATTTTATTGAATTTACAATTAAAAACAAATCAACAACACATACACAAATAGAAAAGGCAGAAAAGAACAAAGGAAAAAGAAAGAAACACGAAAAGAAAAGCAAAAGAAGGAAAGAGAAAGCAGAGAAAGTGAACAGTTAAAAACATTCTCATTTTCAACAGTTTGTAAGATCTTTTCTCTTCTTATTTTATATCATATACGCACATCTTATCCATATCTATATTTAGATTGCACTCATATAAGTTTGTCCCATTCTTTTTAACTTTATAATATATAGTCTATCTTTGGTCTAACCATTTATACCAGCAATTCCAATTGTTGTAATATGTTGAAGAATCTTTATTTTTTAAGGCTAGGGTTAGTTTGTCCATTTCTGCACAGTCTGAGATTTTCTGGATGATCATCTGTTCGGTAGGTATGTGAGGTAATTTCCAGCACTGAGCAAACGTTAGTCTGGCTGCTGTTAAGATATGTATTGTTATATATTTCACTTTTTTAGGTAGCTGTTTGTCAAAAATCCCTAACAGGAAGGACTCTGGTTTATATTCAATCTGTTCTTTTGTTATCTCTTCTAGCCACCTTCTAACTCTTTGCCAGTATTTCTGGGTTTCCTTACATGACCACCACATATGAAAAAAGGTTCCATCTATACTTTTACATTTCCAACTTTTTGGACTCGTGTTGGGGTGCATCTTCGCTAACCTCGAAGGAGGAAGGTGCCACATTTTGTAAGCGTTGTCTTTATAAGCTGCGGATTTGGTGATCTTATTGTTTCTGTTCCAAATCTTTTCCCATTCTGTTAATGTGATACTCCGTCCAACATTCCTACTCCAAGCTATCATGTTCCCTTTGACTGTCTCTTCTTCTAATTCTACTTCCAGTAGGTAATTATAAAATTTAGTTATATTTTTTTTATTTGATCCTAGTAAAATTTTATCTAAGTGCTGAAGTTTGTTATTAATTCCGAAATCTTTATTATCTTGTTTATATCTACTATGGATTTGGAGATATACCCACTGATCAATTTTAAATCCCCGCTCTTGTAGTTCTTGTCGTGTTTTCAATTTTCCTTGTGCATCTAATAAGTCTTTATATTTGATCATTTTTGTAATGTCCAAATTGTTGGGGTGAACCATTGCCTCCATTGTCGATAGCCAAATCGGTACTTTTAAATAGTGTTTTTTCCGTACTTTTTTCCAAATGGTTAATAGTGAATCTCTAATTAAGTGTCTATGAAAATATGATTGATTGGGTTTCCCCACTTCCCATAAGAAGGCGTGCCAACCTCTCTGCAAGTCGTGGCCTTCTAATAATAGCGTTCTTTTGTTAAGTAAGTTCACCCAATCTTTTAACCATACTAAAGCAGCTGCCGTATAGTATAGTTCCCAATTTGGAAGTGCTAATCCCCCTCTACTCTTCAAGTCCTGTAATGCCTTTACGTTAATTCTAGATTTCTTTCCTTGCCAAATGAATTTGAGTATTTTCTTATTAAGTTCTTCAAAAAAAAAATTATGCAATTTAATTGGAATCGTCTGAAATAGGTATAAAAATTTTGGTAAAATATTCATTTTGATAGAAGCAATCCTGCCCAATAGTGAAAGTTGCAACCTACGCCATGATTCTAAATCTTTCTTTACTAGTTGCAACAATTTGTCATAGTTATTCTCTTTGAGTGTCTTACATTGTGGTGTTAGCCATATTCCTAAATATTTAACTTTCTTTGTTACCTGTATTCTCATACTTACCTCTAATTCCTTTTTCTGGTCTTCTGTTAAGTTTTTGGTCATTAATTTTGTTTTTTTTCTATTGATTTTAAGTCCTGCTACTGCACCGAATTGTTCTAGTTCTTTTATCAATTTATATCCTTTTTCTATTGGTTCCTCCAAAAAGACCATATCATCGGCAAACGCTTGCAATTTGTATTCTTCTGTTTTAATCTTCAATCCTTTGATTTCGGGATTTTGCCTAATACGTGTTAAGAGTGTTTCTAAAGCGAATATAAAGAGAAGAGGTGAAAAAGGGCAACCCTGTCTAACTCCTTTTTCTATTTTTATTGGACCTGTGTGTTCCCCATTTATTAAGATGTTGGCCTGCTGTGTATCGTAAATTGTTGTTATGATATTTTCAAATTTAGTGCCTAAATTCATATTATAAATTTTTTGAATTAAGAAATGCCAATTTAAGTTGTCAAATGCCTTTTCTGCATCTAAAAACATAAGTGCAGATTGTTTCTCAGGGTGGGCTTCATAAAATTCTAAGATATCTATTACTGTTCTTAAATTATTCTTTATCTGTCTAGTCGGGAGGAATCCATTTTGGTCTTCATGTAGGTATGGGTTTAAAACTTGTTTTAGTCTATTGGCTATAATGGAGGATAATATTTTATAATCGGTGTTTAGGAGTGAAATTGGTCTGTAGTTGTTAATATATCTGTGGTCAGATTCCTCCATCGGGATCAGCGAAATCAATGCTCCCCTCCACGAGTCTGGCATCTTAGCTGCCAGTAATACCTCATTAA